GTGTGTGTGTGTGTGATGGAATACTACTTAACCATAAAAAAGAATTAAATAATACCATTTGCAGCAACATGGATGGACCTGGAGATTATCATTCTAAGTGAAGTAAGTCAGAAAGAGAAAGAAAAATACCACATGAGATCGCTTACATGTGGAATCTAAAAAAATGACACAAATAAACTTATCTACAAAACGGAAACAGACTCACAGACATAGAGAACAAACTCATGGTTACCAGAGGGTAAAGCGGGCGGGAAGGGATAAACTGGGAATTCAAAATTGGCACCTCCTGGGGAGAGATGGAAGTGTTAGCTCTCTTGATTGTGGTGGTGGTTTCACGGGCATACACATCTGTCAGAATTCACCAAACTGTACATCTGAAATCTGTGTAGTCTACTGTACAGGAACCCTACCACAATAAAGGAGTTAAAAAAAAGAAAAAGATGTACATAATTACCTGAAAAGATCATAAAAATATTCCCCCTCTTCAACTACATATCCTTGTGAAACCAGATTTTCCTCATGTGCTTCAATAGACATATTGTAACAGATGACAGCAGAAGCAGGTAAGAGAACCCAGCCACCTGCCAATAAGCCAGCATCACAAAGCGTGAAATATCACCACTTTTGTTTCAGAAGAGTGATTCTTCATTTAAAAAATTATGATATTGACATGCAATGAGTTTACTGTTACTTTTAGGTGAATTAACAAATATTTTTAGGTTTTTGATTTCTAATCTGGTAAATATTGATAGATTCTTAAAAAGTCTTTGAGGTCCACAGTATTTAATAGTGTAAAGGGGCTCTGAAACCAAAAAGCTTTGAGAGCTCTATCTGCACAAAGGAATGAGGAGCAACAAGCATGGAAAATATGTGGGAAAATATTATGCTCCATTTTTAATCACCTTGAAAGATCAGGGGCTACTGAAGGCAACAGTGACGTCTCTGGCTGCAACGACGTGAAAGACGACAGCAGCACGAAGGCCAGAGGGGAAAGCACACTTACGGTGCTACTCGTGAAAAGGTGTCACTTTGTTTGCAGGCAGACTATGAACACCTAGAGATGCTTGCTACAGATCCTAAAAGGGCCCCTAAACGATTCTGGAGATAAAATGGAACCTGAAAAGGGAAGAAAAGTAAGGCGAGAAGAACGGAAAGCAGACGAGATGTTAGGCCCAGACTTCTCAATAACCACATGAAACACAATCAGTCTAAACACTCCAATGATGAGGCACAGGTTATCAGAGTGAATAAAAAGCAAAGCCATCGTATGGTATCCATGAGGAACTCTCTTTAAATAGAAAGACAACAGGAGGTTACACATCAGAGGAGGGAGAGAGAAGCCACGCACACGCTCATCAGGAGAAGGCGGAGGCAAGGACCGACACCTGCAGTACAGACAGACATTGCACGACAACAAAAGGACAGAAAAACCCTGTACGTGTATAAATGCAGTAGCAGACCAAAAACACACAAAGCAAAAACTGACACAACCAGAAGGTGAAACAGACACAATTACCACTGGACATTTCAACTCTCCTCTCCGAGTAACAGATTGACGGGGCCCGAAGACTCCGGAGATGCAAACACCCCCACAGCCAAGCTGGACTGACTGACACTGACAAAGTACCCCGCCAACAACATCAGGACACACGAAACACCCCGCAAGACTGTGCGGTGGACGACACGTCTCAGTAAATCTAGAAGGACTGAAATCACACAGAGTATGTTCTCTGACCACGACAGAATAGAAACCAGAGCACTGACAGGTATCTCGAACCACCACCAAAACATGAGGAAACTAAACTACAAGCTTCTAGATAACCCACTGATAAAAACAAGAATCAACAAGTGAAACTGGAAATATTTTAAAAAGAATGATGAAAACCACAACATATAAAAAAGTGTACAGTGCAGCTAAAGCCCTACTTAAAGGGGAATTAACAACTTTAAATGTTTTAGAGTAGAATGAAGAAAGACGAAAAGAACTAACTTTGTACTTAAAACTACAAAGGAGGGCAAATTCAATTCAAAATAAATAGAAAAAAAGCAAGAGAAGAAATTATATTGAAAATAATAGAAGAAATCAATACAAACCAAAAGTAGGTTTTTCATAAGATTAATGAAGTTGATAAACCAGACCAACTAAGGGAAAGAAGAAAAGACAGAAACTACCAAGAACTGGAAGCAAGAGGGGCATCACTACAGATCATACATACATTTTTATAAATCAATATAGATAATAGAGAAATAAGAATATGCCAATAAATTTAATAATCTGAATGAAACTGACAAATTCCTTAAAAGTCACAAGTTATCAAAGCTGACACAAAGTTAAACAGAAACCCTAAGTACTTTACATGTATACTAAAGAAATTAAATCCATAATTAAAATCTTCCCACCAAGAAAACACCAGGCCCAGAAGACTTCACCAGTGATTCCGTCAAAAATACAAGAACAAAATAATACTTATACAAAAACTGTTTCACAAAATAAAGGAGGAAATACTTCCCAAGTCATTTTTTGACACCAGCATTTATCCTGACATGAAAACAATTAAAAAACAAATTGCAAGAACACACACTTAACAAAGCGCTGGATCCCTATGTATGTAAATGTGTGTGTGTATGAATGAAAAGTCTTAAAACTCATTAGACAAACAACTTCATTAAAAATTGAGCAAAGTATCTGAACAAACACCTAAAAAAGTACATAAAAACATCTTCAGTCATTAGGGAACTGCAAACTAAAATCCTGAGATACCTCTGCACACCCACGCAGCTGGCTAAAATAGAAAGACTGACTACACCCAGTGTTGACAGAACGTGCAACCACTGGGATTCTGTCTTGCTAGTGGGAGTTTAAAATGGCTCACTTTGGAAAATACTTTGGCAGTTTCATCTAAAGTTAAATATATACTTATCATGTGACCCGGCAATTCCACTCCTAAGTATTTACTTCAAGAAATGAAAATATATCTGCACATAAAGACTTGTGCACAAAGGTTTCCAGCTTTGTCCATAATAGGCAAAAACTAGAAACAACACAAGTGTCCGTGAGCAGGTAAATGGATAAACAAACTGCAGTGCATCCGTCCAGCGGGATCCTACTGAGTACCAAAGAACAGAACTACTGGTGGGTGTGATGACAGGATCAGTTTCAAAAACGTTCTGTCCAGAGAAAGACACAAAACGAGTACATACCACATGATTCCATTTTTACAGAACCTAGAAGAGGCAAAACGAATCTCTAGTGAAGAAAGCAGATCAGCAGGTATCTGGGCCTCGTGGGGGACTAACAGCAAAGGAGCAAATGGGAACATGTTTAGGGTGATGAAAGTGTTATCCTGATGGTGAATGTTAAACAGATGGAGCCGCCTCTCAAAACTCCAGGAACTGGGTCCCTTTACTGCATGTAAATCATGTATCAGTAAACCTGGGGGTTTTGGTGTAAGAGGCTCAAGCTACTGGCCAGGCGCCAACGAAAAATAAGAGCCACAGCAAGAGGGTTCATGGTAAAACTCCAGACCTGGGACAAAGAGGGGACCAATCCAGTCACACACAGAGCAGGAAATCCAGGACAGCCGGGCGGTGCTCCACCCCCAGGGAGAGATTTTGCCCCCAGGGTACCCACCCGATTATCCAGTGAGGGGAGAGGCTTGCTCAGAACCACATCTGGGAAGTGTAAGCTGCGGGCGAGGAGGGGAGCAGGGACGGTCCCCACACAGGCACAGCTGGGAGGCAACAGGGCTGGCCCGGCGGAAAGCGAGGCGGTCTCTAAACGGTGATGAAGGCAAGTCCCAGACGACGGGCAGGAGACCCAAGCAGCAACCAGCTAGCCTGCGGAAGGATGGTCTTCAAACTGATGCCACAGGGAAAGGGACACTCCAGAGGCCGCCTCACAGGCCGCCCTGTGATTCCAGAGATGCTGACGGGACGAGAGCACCTGGACGCAGAGTCAACCAGAGAAGGAAGTGACCCCACAGGGAGGCCCCACAGGACGGGTGAGGGACACGCCACCCGCTCCCAGTGTGCTCACACAGCAGCAATCCTGGGGACACGGAACCTACGAGCAGAGCGGCAAAGAGACTTCAGATCTTACTACACATCTAAGGACGACGCTGAAAGGAAAACTCATCAAGGTCAGGCCTCTCTAGGGCCCAAACCTTGCTAAATTTAGGTGCAGCAATTTTCAGGAGAGAAAAGCCACCAGGGGGAAGATGGGAAAGCTCCCAGGGCCGGCTCAGGGCTTCTCAGCCATCAGAGCCCTGTGGAGTGCAGAGCAGGTGGGAAAGGTCCAGAGAGCTCAGATGTCACCACAGTTGAGGGAAGGTGCACTGAGTAGAGACCCCCATGCACAGACCACAGGGGCACATCTCACCTGCACCTGAGCCTCTGCCCGAGAGGAGCCAGGAAGGCAGTGACTGCGGGAACCCCCATCCCCACAGGACCTGAGAATCTGGCTCAGAGAACCTGCCGGACAGCAGGGTGCAGGCGGGCCCCCATCAAAGACTCCACCCTGGGGACAACCTACTAACGCAAGACGCTGAAACGCATGTGGGAATGCTAAGGGAAGAGCAGAATGTGGAATGTGTGGGACACAAATGAAAAAAACTGGGCAAGGGCAAAAAGGTCACAAAAAAATCGAGGCATGTATTAACCCGGGGAAACGTGGCGTGGCCAGGAGGCTGCTGGGCCATCGCCACGACGCCGGGTCAGACCGCAGCTCAGAGGACAGCAGGCCAGGTGGCCACGCAGAACAGGGGCTCCAGGGGCTGCCTGTGAGCTACAGTTGTCACAGTCACAGCAGGAAGTGGGGAGGCAGCATCTAGTGTAGACAGAGCCAGAGCTGGGGAGACAATGCCGGGGGACAGCAGGATGCAGTGAGGGGACAGTGGAGCTGTGGCACTGATACGCAGCCACGTCCACAGGCAGGGGGGCGCCGAGCACCTGGGGAAGCACTCGCCAGCACAGGGCAAACAGGCGACTCCCCGCAGAGGTGGGAAACCCCTCGGGGAAAAGGAGCACCCCGTCCCCGCAAAGAAACACGGCCAAAGGGAACAAGCCTCAACCTCCCAAAGGGAGAGATAAGCACTCAAACATACACTCTCTTCTTTAAACTTCAACTTCACCAGTGAATGAAGAAACAAAAGATGCTGTTTTTCACCTTTCAAATTGGCAAGTATTTTTTAATAACATCCAATATACAAGAAAACACGGGGAAAAAACACCAACTAGACTAACAGTACGAGAAAATGGTACAACCTTTATGGTCAGAAATGTGGCAAAACTAATCAAAAGCCTTTAAAAAATGAACCTCAGTTTCATCACAAGCACTGCTCACCAGGAACGCGTGGAGGGAAATCCTTGTGACGCACGGGAACCGGCTGCTCGAGGCAGGAGGCCGCTCAGCCACCGCGCCGCGCTCCCCGCATCTCGTCACGCAAACCTTGGCTCGCGGTCAAACGTCTGGGAACACCTCAACCCTGCCTTTCAGTCTAAGCATCACACCCAAATGAGCACAAACCATGAGAACTGACATCACAACATGACATTTACAGGTGGTCAGGTTGTGGAATTTCCAGTGTGTTCTGTTTGCTCATCTGTGTTTTCTTAATTTTCTGTAATAACTATATCGTTTATTTGATAAGGGGGGAAATCAATAAAAGCTGTTAGAGAAAAAGATAAAGAAAACGTGAACTTTCAGCCACAGGAAGGAAACTCATGCTAGGATTACACAACTCTCACCCATCGGCCAGTCTCCCAGGGAAGCGTGCACCGCTCCCTCCCAAGCATCGTCTCCCGGCCAAGTTCGCACGGGGTGCTTTCCACATGCACTACCATGTGAAGCCAGGGGACGAGAAAGACGAGGTGCCCTCCACCAAGAGGCGACCGCATGGGCACTGGCCAGCTCACCAGTCCAAACCAGGACCCGGAGGCTCCGCAGTGAGTCCCAGAAAAGCCCTCTGCCTCCCTGCAGGAGCAGGGACTGGAGGTGGTCTGCACACCCACTTGATGTCCCAAAGCCATACCCAGGGGGGAAACCAAGTCAGGGCAGGGCAACCGTCTGAGACAGACATCACGGCATGTGATGAAGGAGGCCCCTCAAGGGAGCAGCACACACTCCGCCTGGCTTTGCCATATTCTGCAACTAATCCCACCTCGCCTCTTACAAAGCCCTGACGTGGCAAGGAATCCATGCAGGGCAGGAGGGTACAGCGCAGTGGGAGAGAGCATGCTTAGCACGCACAAGGTCCTGGGTTCAACACCCAGCAGTTTCACCAGAAGTAAATACAGAAATAAACCTAATTATACCCTCCTACAAAAAAAAAAAAGGAATATACGTACTAACTGTACGAGATCATTTTCAATTCTTGCATGCTAATGCAGCTCTGCAAGGAGCTGCTCTATTCCTTTATTAACAAAGTGTCCCTCACTAAACACCTTTCTGCAAATTACGAGGCTTAATAACCAAAAGGCTTTGCTAAGGAAATCTTACAACACCCACAATGAGAAATGAACATTCTTTATATACACTGTACAGAAGAGCCCGCTGTAAACTTCTAAACGTAAGGGGAGAACATGGCATTTAGGAAGACACTTTTCTCTTAATGACCAAAATGCCTTCCAAAACTGGGGTCCCCTTTAACTCACGCAGGCGCCTGGGGTGAAAATGGAGAACCACCAACACAACTCACCTCTCAGACTCGCTCCTCCCTCTGCACATCCAGAAGGGTCACCTGTCTGCTGGAACCGCAGCGGACACGCTCCTGAGGCCTCTGCTGTGCCTGGTCTCAGCCAGACACTTGGGGATGGTGCTGCTCTCAGGGAAGAGGACCGGCCCCGAGGAGCACCGGCCGTCCAGGCTGCGGCTCCTGCTTGCGCTCCAGGTGGCCCACACTCACCTTGTTGATCCAGAACACCATGGCGTCCTCCAGGTCGTACGGAAGCTCTTTGGAGGCACTGAACGTGGAGAAGCGCTTGACACTGGCTACCACCTTCTCGATGCTGATCATCTCCACGGTGTAGGCCATCATGAGGGCGTCCACCATCGCCATGTGGGCGCTCTGGGGGCAGAGGCAGCAGGGAGTCACCCAACCCGCCTTCCCTCCCCACTTCCACGCAGACTTGCTCAGACTCCAACCTGAATGAACCCGTTGTTTCTCCTCCTCTCCCCCAAGGAGGTAGGCAGCCCCCCCCCACCCCCACCGGCCCAGGGAGAGCACGCCGCCAGGAGGGACGCGCCAAGGCCCCACGACTAAACTCCCCAGAACCGAGTAACATCCTCTCAACCCACAACACGTTGTCCACAGAGGCCAAGAGTGAAACCACAGAAAAGTGAGGATGGCCTGAGCAGCGCGCTGTGGGACTTCAACCTGGAGTGGCCTGGAACAGTCACACCAGCAGCACGGCTTTCAGAGAAAGAAGGGAAGGGAGACGCTCGGGGGAGGAAAGGCATATTTATTCCTTTATTTTGGCACAAAATGCTTACAAAATATACATGAAACAACCTAAGAGAACAGGCGTGACAATCACACATCACAACACCTGCAGAAGGCTGGCCTCCAAACAGACGCTCCTGGGAACACAACGCCACCTCGCTTTCACGGACGCCCAGTGAGGAAAGGCCGCGCGGAAGCCGCTGGGCCCCGTTTCCCCAAAGCACCCCGGCCCGTGCGACTAAGCCCCACGCAGGCGGCCCCGCACCGGCCCAAACCTCACCGGCCATCTTGCTGGACACTTGTGCGCACACCGCCCCAACCCCTGAAGTTTTGGGGCTGACTCTGCCTCACCCGAGCGGCCGAGCTGCCGAGGGACAGCTGACAAAGCGCAGGCTGAGGGAGGGGCCACCCGCAGTGGGACAGACCTGCCCCGCAAACCACACGACGCACAAGGCTGGAGGGGGCACTCACCATCTTTATGGGCGCATGGCTGAGGTCAGGGTCCGTCACAGGGGTGTCATCGCTCTCCATCACGTAAATCCCTTTCCGGGACAGGGCCTGGATGACGGACTGGTGTCCCTGCAGGGTGGCCGCCTGGTCCCCCTTCAGGATGAGGCTGCAGACGCGGCGGTACAGCTCGCTGGACAGCAGGAGCTTGATGACGGGAGGTTTGATGTGCTCCTGCTCGTACTGGTCGACGTAGAACGGGTCCCTGAGGTCCTCGGGGATGTTATCTGCCCCGGGGAGAGATCACCAGTGAGGACCAAGCAGAGGACAGGCGTGCCGTTAACCACAAAGGCAACGGACGACGCAAAGACATCCAGCTACTCGGTAACCCTCGGCCTCTCTATCAGCGGAGGCAAGCGGGCTACTCACCCTACCTGGGGCCATGGGCCACGCACATCACTGAGCAGCATCACCACCTCAACCCCCAGGGACAATTCTGCCGACACAGGAGAGTGAGAAACAGGTGTGTGAGCCTGAGGGGCTCGTGGCTGAAGGGAAACCAGGACAAGTCAGGCTAGGACCACGCAGGGCCTGGTCGCATCAAGTGCCAGCCCGGGGCAGAGAGCCAGGTGCGTCCTTTTTCTGATGTCAAATCAGAGGTGACTACGAGGCCAAGCACCATGTCTTTAGAAGGGAGCACCAGGCCTGCCGCCACCATGATACAGCCGGAACAGCATCAATGAGTATTTACCTATCTTTGGACCGGGTGGCACGAAACTCTACGTGAGCCATGTCACCAAGCACCACCACAATCCTATCACATGTAGACTTTTGTCCTTACTTGATAAAGAGGAAACTGAAGCCCAGAGAAAGCAAGCAATGTGCCCAAGGTCAGGAGAGTCAGAAACCAACTATGAGCCCAGCGCAAGCCACAGTGTCTACACCGCCTCCCACAGACATATACCAGCCACATGCGCACAGCTGGGGATGCCCACTCTCCAGGCGGCCACAATGGTCTTCCCATCTGGTGTCCCTCATGCTTGCTCTGCAAATGGCGACCGCTGTGCCCCAAAGTGGGGGACTCTGGAGTCAAGTACAGACACACCTCGTTTCACTGCACTTTGCAAATACTGTGTTTTTCACAAACTGGAGGTCTGTTCGACCCCACGTGGAGCAACCCTATTGGCTCCATTTTTCCAACAGCATTTGCTCCCCTGTATCCCTGTGTCACACTTTAGTAAGTAACTCTAGCAATTTTCGAACTTTTTCATTATTATTATATTTGTTACAGCGATCTGTGGTCACAACTGTAATTGTTTTGGCACTTTTCAACAACAGCTTTTTTTTAATTAGGTGTGTACACTGTTTTTCAGACACAACGCTATCGCATGTTTAACAGACTACAATCTAGCCTAAAGTACCCTTCACACGCCCTGGGAAACCAAAACCTTTGTGCCACTCGCTTCACTGGGACATTTGCTCTACTGTGCAGCCTGGAACTGGTCAGGGAGGGTCCAGTAACAGAGTCCCCGTGCAGGGACCCCAGACCTCTCTGGCCATGGAGACAAGCACTCATAGAGGTCTTCTAGTTCTGGACCCCTACCCACACCAGGGTAGGAAGACAGAAGAGAAAGAAAACAGCTGACGGCTGTCCCCACCGGGCAGAGCCCACTGACTCCCTCCCCTACACCAGTGAGCACCAGCAATAAAACCACACCCCTGCACTGGGGGCAGGTGGGTGCCACGGGCTCTTTCCTCACCCCCTTGGCTGAGGCAGCCTCAGCTGCGGGACACACACAGGCTCAGCTTCCAGTCAAACAGCCAGGGACAGAGACCCCCGGGAGGCCCAGAGCCCTGGGGTGCGGCGATCAGAGAGAAGAGCGGGTAAACAAGGAATCCTAAATCTGTGTAGACCCCCCCCCGGACAGCCCCAAGCGGCCCACGTGTGACACCGACTGGGATCAGCACAGTGACAGAGCTGAGAACTGAACTCAGGTGGACAGACGGGAACGCGCCACGAAGGCTTGGGAGAGTCCAGCACTGAGCCGCGGCCGCAGAAGGCAGGCTGTCAGGGCCTGCAGTCTCAACCCAGCGGGGTGGCCTCCCTGGTTAAAAAGAAATCAACATTCTCTAGATTTTAACAGGACCCAGAGTCTCACACGTAAGAGTCAGAATGTCCAAGGCACAATCCAAATTTAGTCAACAAAGGAAACAAGGAGGAAAACCTACAACCACCGAGAAAGACAACCGACAGACCCCAACCCCGTGATGACCCCAAAGTCAAAATTATCTGATGAAGACGTCAGCAGTGTATACAGCCATGCTCTAAAAAGGTAGGGCAAACATGCCTGCAGTGAACAAAAAACGAACCCAGAGCTCTAAGCAACCCCAGGGAGAGAGGTCCCAGGCTGGAGGGAAACCAAAGACGGGAGGAGAAGGGCCTGCAGAAAGTCTCACGGTGCTGCCCGTGTTCCCCATGGGACCCCTCACCACCCAGAGGCAAACAGCAGCAGCACTGGCCCAACACAGCCTGGTGGCAGGTACCATCAGGGCACCAGGCAACCCAGTGGGGGAGGGAAGGGGACCCACCAACCCTCAACACCCCCTCCTCCCATCACTTCCATTTCAAGGTGATCCCCAAGGACAGTACCTGGGGAGGGACAGACTCCCAGAGGGCAAGACGGCTGAGCGGGCAGGCGATAAATGACAATGGCTGTGCATGAACTCTGCTGCCAGGGTCTCCTCACCCTGAGGCAAGACCCGCCTCGCTCACCCCTCAAAGACTCCCCAGGCAGGCACTAACGCTAGCTCCCCTCCTAGACAAGGAACACCACACCCAGCTAACAAGCATCCAGGGATCCCGACACGGGTGCACAGGAGCATAACCAGTGCAAAGGAGACGCAAATTGGAGACCTCACACCTGGCAAGACTAACGAGCAGACAGATGACCAAGGAAACAGCACATATCTTTACAGACCTACGTGGAGAGGAGCCCCTCCAGCAGCAGGGGGACTGCAGAATTCAGGTCAACTGTCCAGCAAAGACAACCACAGAATGCCATACAGACGTAAGGAACACTCGAGAGGCTGGGACCAGCAAACTAGAGGGAGGGGTGTCACTTAGGCACCAAAGAACATCAAAGTGATAACTGACAAAATCCAAAGACAAAGGAAAAACTTTTAAAGCAGCCAGAAGGACTACACAGGGTGGCACCTGTGTCTCCAGCTCCTCTCCACAAGGTGCAAGTATAAACCCCAGAAACCACTCAAAGGAGAACCAAAGGAGAACTCTGAAAGGTGGAAGGCAAACCGGTTTGGGATCCCAGGACTGGAAGAGCACAGCAACAGGGTGTTTTACAACCTCCCACCCACCAGAAAGTGACCCAGGTCTCATGTTTTCTGAGCCCCTAGAAACAGAAGGCGAGCCAAGCAGGCTCATTCCTGACCCAGATGGATGAGGAGTCCCACCTACGACCCCAGGCCAGCCTGGCAGGACCAGCAGGGGACTGACAGGAAGCCCCATTAGCAAGCAGCCTAGACACCTACCTCGGCAAGCCCCCAGCCTGGAAGCTCCCTGTCCTGTGGGTGGAGAACCCCATCCACCCGGAGGCAGCACGCAATCCGACCCCAGGGAGAGCCTCCTGCCTCCTAAAGCATCACCAGCAGGGACAGTGGGGGCCCCAGCAGCACCAGACACACCAGGCACAACAAAATGGCATCACAAGGGCTCTCAACATTAGACTGTCATTGGAACCACATCCACAAGAGGAGGCCAGGATCTGCATGCTGAATCTAAACAGGGAGACTGCCTACTGCAATAAAAAATTTAAATAGTACCCGAAGTCTCCTAACATAACAGCCAAAATGACCAGAAAGCAATCGAAAATCACCCGTCATACCTGGAACCAAAAAACCCATGACTTTAATGAGAAAAGACAATCAACTGACACCAGCACCAAGATGAGTCAGATGTTGGAATTATGTGACAAAGGACTTTAAAACAAGTATCATAAAAATGACTCCACAAACAATTACATATTCTCTTGAAACAAATGAAAAATGGAAAAAAAATTCAGTAAAGAAGATATAAAAAGAATGAAATATAGAACTAAAAAATGTAGAGCAACAAATTTCAAAAGTCACTGGATGGCCTCAATAGTAAAATGGAGACGACAGAGGACAGAATCAGTGAACTTGAGGACAGACAAACAGAATTTACCCAATCTGAACAGCAGATGGAAGATATACTGAAAAAATATATCAGGGACCTGTGGGAGAATGACAAAAGATCCAGCATTTGTATGGCTAGAGTCCCTGGAAAAGAAAAAGTAAGTGGGGCTAAAACAGTATTTAAGGAAATAATGGTTGAAAGCTTCCCAAATATGGCAAAAGATATAAACCCACAGACTTCAAGAAACTGAGGGAACCGCAAAAGGACAAATCCAAAGAAATCCATGCTAAGACACATCATGATCAAGCTTTTGAAACCCAAAGACAAAGAAAACGTTTGGGAGCAGCCAGAGAGAAACAACACTTCAGGGATAACGGAGCACGGACTTGACTGACGGTGAACTTCTCACCTGAGCCAGGGAGGCCAGAGGGAAGCAGCATCCATTTCTCAAGGGCTTGAGGAAAAGAACTACCAACCAGATTCCATACCTGGTGAGACTATCCTTAGGAATGAAGGAGAAATAAAGACTTCCTCAGGCAAAAGAAAACTGAAAACTAAAAAGAAAAAAATAGTCTCTGGCAAACCTTAGAAGGATGGCTAAAGAAAATTCTCCGAAAAGAAAGACAATGGTATTAAAAAAAAAAAAAAAGGAATCCTGGAGCATCAGGAAAAAATAATGTAAAGAAATGGGTAATGTATGTAAATATATGTAAATAGACAACAGACTATCCTTCTCCTCATGAGTTTTCTAAATTATATCTGATGACAAAACCTGCAACACCTTGAGTTACTCAAGTCGTACTTAAAAGCAGGGAGAGCAAAGAGACCTAAATGGAAAAACAGTCTCCACACCTCACTCAAAACAGTAAAACAATACCTGTCAAGTGTTTTAAGTCACATGTATGTATCATAAAACCCAGAGCAACCACTAAGATAACACACAGAGAAACATACCCAAAATGATACAAATAAATCATGGACAGAATCCTAAAAAATAGTCAAGTAATCCACAGGAAGGCAAAAGAAAAAAAAAAGGTAACAAGAAACAGAGAAAACAAACACAAGTAATAAAATGTCAGGCATAAGCCATAACAAAGCAACAATTACATTAAATATAAATACTTTAATACACCAAGTAAAAGACAGACTGGCAGAATGGATTAAAAAAACGACACAACTATACCCTGTTTACAAAAACTCACTTCAAATTCAACAACTTAGG